TGGATGGATTTTGACGCGCAAGCTCAATTTCGATCACGATCTCCATTGAATCGAACCTTAGTCATTCAACCATGGGGACCGTAGTTGAAGCAGATAGAAATTAGGTGTTGCTTGCCGGGAAAACACTGCACTCCTATAACGCGTTTCGATGTTATTACATCTCATCAGATAGGTAGCAAGCATCCAACACGGGACCATCATCATCATCATTATACACGTCAACTAGAGGTGGGAAACACCTCAGCTACCGTTCCGCAATACATTAAGGAAACGGAAAGTAAATACAACAATTGTAAGCCAGCTGATCTACCACCAACGGATAGGCATCGTTCCGGTAAGCTACCAGAAGAAAAGAAAAATTATTATGTCTTACACTATGAAATGAGATCGTAGGTGGAGGAGGAGGCTAAAAAGGATGGGAAGGGACAAAGAAACTCACAGCAGGAACGCCACTGAGGTCAGTTCCTTGCCATGTCAGCAAGTGTATTTGGCTAAACGTGTTCACCGTCTTTTGGACCTCAACCAGGGAGCCGTGACGCTCCAACCGAGGCCAGCTCCTCTTCTTCCATCCACATCCCCGGTGAGCAAACAACGCACGTAGTGGAAGTTGTTGGGCTGGCATGCGCAACACGTGGCTCAGCCATCGGAGCCTGATGCGTGAAATGACTGTGCTGAGCGGTTCAAGTGCTTTTCTGTGCCGTAAACAAGGCGTCGAACACGCTCGTTACTCACGCGACGTTCCCATCATATGTGGGCCAAACTGCCAAGGCACCGATGGTCGAACGTAACTAGCCTCTTCATGTCCGCTGATCTTAGGGGCCAGGTTTCGAAACCGCACAGGAGGGTCGAACGTACCGCTGGACAACTGGGATATTAGTTGTGACCGCTAACCCTAAGCTATCTGATGAGATAAAATAACATCGAAACGCGTCATAGGATTGCAGTGTTTTCGGGCGGACGACAACCAATTTCCATCTGCTCCTAACGTTGTTACGCTGCAGGGATGGATGCAGTTTTTCGGGAGCGCTCAGCTTCTTCTTTCGATTGAGGCCAAAATTATTCCCAAACAGCTCAGGATTGATTTAATTATGCATTGAGCTCGACAAATACTGTGCCAAAACTGCAAACTGGAGCAACAGTATGACCCAGGCAGTTTAGATCCAAGAGGTTGGAAGCACTAAGGGGCGCTCATCTGACTGGTTCGAAAGAGCGTATTCATAACGATGTGTGAGGAGAGTGGGAATGCCTATCGTGAGTGAGGCGAGAGTCGAGCTAGAGTGCGGCCGTAAGGGATGATACAAAACTGAAAATCGATTTGTATAACAGTTGTACTTTTTCCCGATCATTTTTGCTCGTTTCATTGGAAAATGCTGCTACTTACCTGAAGAAATTGTAACAGGCGTAGCTGCACAGGAAAGAGAATGTGGAATCTATTTACTTATTTTAGCCTACTGGACACCTGGGAGCCTTTTAGTCATGGAGGACGAGGAAGCGAAGATGGTTATTAAACGTTGCGGTTTTGATCGCGGCGTTAGCAACACTTGTTTAGAATGCTTAACCAGATTCTTATAATTGTAATCTTTGTGACGGAGAACAAATGATATACGAAATATCAGGTATTCAGATCGCAATGAGAGTTACTCTACTTTATGTGAAGGAGTATTGGCCCCTTCTATCTGTGGATCTGAGGTGCTTTCGATTCACTGATCACCATTAGCTATATATGACACCAGCTTTTATGACAACAGCTGAGCTCTACAGGGCTCAGTTGGTTCATATAGCTCCACTGTCGGTGTAGAATTGAGATAAACCAACGGGACTAGGTGACGTTGAGCAAGTTGATCCTCCTTAATACTGATTGCTTTTTAATGGATCAGGCAATTGCATAAAATTCCAACTCAAAACTTATCGATGAAGGCATTGCTTTATCCTCCTGACCTAGGATGGTGTGTTGGAAAGGTGTAAAGTGCAAGTGGGTTACCATGTTGGCCAGTCTGGCTATGTTAAAGCGGAATCCAAACGACTCTCTTGCTTTTGAGCCGAGGCTCAGCAGGGAGTGGCTCGCACATGCGCCAATAGTGCTTCCATTTTCTCCTTCTAAGGAGGCTGTCTGGAGCTAGATCATTGGTGGATCAAGCCAATCCTGACTAGGATAAGAAAACATGCGATGAAACTGAACGACGCGTAGCTGTCGGAAACAGCCGCAGCACCTAAAACGCGCAACTGAATAAAGTAAATAAGGACCGATAGTTAGGAGCCAATCGGATGCATATCACGAGTAGGAAGTGGCGGTTTTGGGGTCAAATTAGAACTGTGATCGGCGACAAAAAAACGACTCCATGCAATCAGTAAGCCTAAGGATGTGCTGCGTTAAACCAAAGCTTAGGGAACAGATGCGACAAAACAAGAGCGTGTGACTTTGGTCGTTTACATAATCATACCTGAATGGTGGTAGCTTATCCAAAAGCTGCCCGGAAGCCAAAAGTTTGTAACAGATGCCGTTGGCGTGGACTGTGAGCGTCTGTTCGGGGTGCTTAAGTCTTACACTATATTCTTCATCCCCTCCCTCTTACTAACTCTCATTATCAAGATCGTCACCAGCACATAGCAATGACGACTCGGTTCAGCCTACTGATGTTTTGGCCTAACGAATACAATAAGAAGAAGGATGCTGCAGGATGATAAAATCATTTGCTGCACTCTGATCTCATGCAAAAGAACAACCTACTAAACGATGACCGAGGAAAAGAATTCAATAGTTCGAATTTACCAGAGGAGGCACATGGCTGCCCAGGCAACAGCAGCATCGTAAGTTGTAAAAATAATGTCCCGGTTCCCAGTGAAGCTTGAGTTTGATAGTCAGCTTTTTAGCAGACAAAGGTTAATGCGGTTAAAGTAATGGACACAAACACAGAATACTCTAGCTCGGTGAGGCCGTGCACCGTAGGCCATTAGTTTTCTCTAACAACTTGTCATGGGCCACCGGATGGTTATTATGTCTGTATGCACTACTGTGCTGCATCACACTAATCCAAGACTTCTTCTTGTATCCCGTGCTGCGCAACAGGCAGGATAAATGCAGCTCTATACCATCGAAAGCGATAACTCTTTGGCTTTTGGAGGATCCGAGCGCAGTAGCTGTGCTCTTAGTATTCACGTTCACAACTTGCCTATATATATATATATATATATATATATATATATATATATATATATATATATATATATATATATATATATATATATATATATATGCATGCCCCATGCTGAGGCTACTGTTGCATTCATGACGCTTCTTCACCGCAGTTGGGCTAAACCAACTTACACTTAAGCTAGGTCTTTTTAATGTGGATAAAATTCATTACATTTTATTTGGTTTGTTCTGAGTACTTGATAATCTTCTCCCAGCTTGCGCACGTCGCTCATGCAACTTGTGATAAACGTGTGTAATTGTATCGCGAGGTATTTTTTAAATAACTCGGACGTTTTATACTTATCATGGATTCCCTGATAACCAATTTCTTCCATACGCTCATTTGCCGAGTATTTATGTCGTCATATGCGTTTGCTTTACTCGATATCGGCATTTTGAGTGATTGGCTGTTGTTTGACATCCCAGGTGTGGCTGTGCTTGATGTGCATGTTGACAAGGTGCCTATCTGTCTACCCACTACCTCGTCCATCTGGTTCCAGGAGACAGTTGGTCGTTGCTGGAGGGGACGGGGTGCACGTTCCTTGTGGCCGTGCTAGGCTCGAAGAGGGGCTCCATGCACTCAGTGTGGAGCGGGCTACGGTCAAGCCACCGCCTTGTGTGTGTTTGATTCCCCAAATACAGCGTGCTTGTGTTTGCCTGTGAAGGTGTGTGAGCCGGCTCCGTTGATGAAACGTGGCTCCCATCCGCATGCCTCCCGGTCTTATTCCTTCGGGTTTACACTGGATATGGGGTGTGTGGTTGGAGCTGTGGGTGGTGCAGCGCAAGCCACCCATGGTCCGTCTGTAGGCGCAGGCGTCCTGTGTCTGGCCACAGTGACAGGCGAATCCGAAACCGGATGTCGCAAACCATATAAACAAATATATATATATATATATATGCTATTTTTAATGAAGTTGTAGCTTCGGTGCCAAGTACAAGCCTCTACTTTAAAATGCACAGAGGGTCTTGTTGCCTTAAAGATGCATAGACCTGCATTACCAAGAGAAGAAGCAGACAAGATTATAGTCGCGAAAGTCGGCACATCATGCAATCACTTGAAAAATGGGGTTTGCTCTTGTTGACCAGCTCCTTAGGTACGGCTATCCATGCGGTGCACCCTCCCTGAACAAGTTTCACTCTGTTTGTGACCACGCAACCTAGTGTTCCTACCCGAAGAACAACTCAGATACCAAGGCTTTAGATTGAAAAAATTGAGTGGTCTAAAACCTACGTCACCAAAATTTACAAATACTAAGGGAGTTACTGAGACCTTGACCTATCGGTCGAAACTGTTCAAGTACCCAGCTTGCTACTTTTCTGCCTATATCTCCTTTCCGTCTGATGATGGGTGCACCTGCTTGAGGGTCTCGACTTTCGGTTTTTTGTCTACCAACGTACAAAATCGAACTTTGTACGCGAAAACTTCGCCTAGCGAACCTCAGGTACGCTCAGTCATTGCAACTGCTGTTGGGTTGAACCGCTTCACTCACACTTGTCAGGATGTGAGTCCAGCCTGACACGTACGTTTCAACACCTAAGGGATTCCATTTCTGCCTGTTTGAATACGTAACGGCTTATCTCCTCGAACGGAGCTCGCTTCCTGCGTGTCACTCGGGCGGTGGTGGGAGTGGCGTGCACATCGACACAGCTTTGGTACTCGACTGGCTTGTCCTCAATGCTGGACTGAAGAGGAGGCCAATCGCTGGTGCGCTTTTGAGTGGTTGGTCGATCACGTGCGTGCGCGCACTGCGCATATGTGAGCATGTGTGGAGGGCGTTAGTTAACGCAATCCCATGGAACAAAAGCCGAGAGAACGAGTCCAACTCCCCGTGTCTCTCGTGTGACGCCTGGCTGCGACGGCGATAGTGGTTTTTAAGTGGATTCACCTGACACGAGAGATAAGACGAATCGGACAGATGAGTGGTCGAGGCTTCCTAGTCCTGGTGCACCCCAGTACACGGTTCAGCGGGTAACCCTTCATGGATTTTTCATAGCCCAAGGGCCCGGATGCCTAAACTAGGTCGCCATGCGGCCTGTATACTATTCCTCATGGTCGCTTTGACCTGTTCTGACCAAACCTCCCTAGACCAGGGGTTGGATAACTCTGCACAACCAACTCCAGGTACACGTAAGTTGACCATGATTTTTGCGCTTTCACTGGATAAAACCCTAATTGTGAATCATAACTAACCCAGTTAGACCGTCAGTGCACATGCCCGGAGGATTACCGGACTGCCGCCTCATCCTTACGGAAATCAGCAGTGCGTAACGAATCTGGCGTACGCGGAGCTACAATCCACCACCATACCATTAACAATGCATGGTTAGGACACTAGGCTACCATGAATAGGCTACCATGTGAATAAGTTAAGAGATATGAGATGGCACGGTGCGCCCACCACTGGCTTGCGCGTTACTACTTGCGGAGAACAAGGTTGTCACCCACAAGCAAAGGCTAAACCAACTTAGGCGGCCAAGCATCCTATGGTATTATATGCGGTGTTGTCTGCAGACTGATTAAAGGTGGGAAACAGACGATTTCAATGGTAGCAGTAGAAATTAACCAGTCATCGTTCGACAGAATAAGTTGTACCGGCAGCCGTTTCATCCTTGCGAAAATCGTCAGCAGTGTCCATTTCGTTTGTACCATGTGGTACTAGAACTCAGGATCTTAACGTTGCAAGTCATTAGTTAAGATATATATATTATAGATGTGGCTTCAACTTATATCACCAAAATTTTATACCATTCGTTCCTGTTCATAACCGCCTGTCATTTGATTCAGTCAAAATATGTTCCACACAAGTGAGTGTGTCGTTTTCACATAGGGAATGAGTACAGGCCAGTACAAAAACAGTAGAGATAGTGCTCCTTACTTACGAATCCACTAGTCTTTGATGATCGAAAGGCGATAGCATCTGTTGTGTACAGTTATTTCTGTGGAGCAGTCCTCATTACAGAGTACTGGCATGTGAACCTTCGGGGGTTAGAAAGGACTACCTTTTTAGTCACCACTTAGCTATGCAATAGTTTAAGATATTGGTGCCGCCGATTGATATATAGCTCAAGGCGCTGTTGATGCCACTAGCAGCCATACGTTAGTTGTCACTGAGCTTGCACAAACAACTGAACTTGAGGTCCGTATAACACTCAGAACCACCCGTACGGCTTTCCACCGTGTAAGAGGTGTACGGAGCAAGTTGTGAGTATAACAGCGCAGACAGTGTGGGTGCTATTCTTTAACTATTCACAGCCACCATGCGCCTCAAATTTGGAAACGGATGTTACCAAAAGGAGGCGCATTTATCTTACGCTTTATCATCCGTATGTATCCGTATTTAGGCACTTGTGTGAGAAACACTGCAGCTGACAACTCAAGCTTGACTTATGAAGGAGACGTTTTTGGTGACTAGATCGTCCATTCGTTAATGCTCATTTGAAGTACTTATAATATATCTGCAGATTGTGAGGGATATTTGTCCTCTTTGTTCATCCATCGTTATGGTCTTTACTAGTTTGGCCGTAAGAATGACTTGTTTGCTATAAAGCATGCGTCTCACCACATCTCAAATGTATTCAGTGGGTTTCAGCTTTTGCCTGTAAATTTCTCTGTCCGTTAAATCCATATTATGGTTTCATAGACACTAGCCTGCAAATTAGACAGCCTGAACTGATGCCCTATGGAGAAGAAGATCCGTGCTCCTCATATAATCCGCAAACAGAAGAGTAAACTAGTAGATTCCAGGTGACGCTGTATGAATTCAACTTTGGTTTAAAGTCGGAACTTGCCAGTTACTTCCACGAACTTACACTGTCATTATGGTGACCTGGAGATTCCCCAGTTTGACTGTATAAATTAATCTAATATGTTATAAAATTATAGTGTTTTACTTATTATGGAATCAGGTGGTTTGCTCGTTTAAATGTTGCTTCTCTTTCTCTGAGTCGTACACAAGACACGCATCCGCTCCTCTCGACCGGCCATATTGGTACTCAACACTCCATTACACCTTCCTTAGCTAATTTTCTTCTGGTGCCTTAGCTAATTTAGCGACGTTTCAGCAAACCTTCCTAAATAAATAAATGTCTCAGTTGTACGCCTTAATGGCGTTACGCTGCTGTGCGACCACCACAGTCAACTGCGGTCTTAGTATACCACGAGGACGCCCACCACTACGCGGATTCGAACCGGTGAACTTATGATTGCAAGCCAGGCATGCAGACCCCACGGCCAGCATCCTTTTAGCTGCGATTAAGCTATATAGCGCTCGATTGACGCACTATACTCCCTTCAGAGCTGGTGGGCCACTTACCTTCTTCCATGCATGTGCTTCCACAGAAATCTTTCTCGTTATTCGCTTTCCACCTGTACCAATGATACTGTAGTTCAGACAAACAACTTCCTACGACCGATTTTCATTGACACATCTAACTTTTTTTATCTACGTCCTCTTCTCCGATTCAAACGTGGTTTGACCCGTGTCTTGTCAAGGCACCTGACTAGAAAGTGATCACCATTGCTGTTCGCCTATGCGTATCGTTTACACTGGTTTACCCCAACTTCAAGAAGGGGTGTTTTGATCCGCGAAACCATCGTTATCCACTTGGATTAGCTTTGTCATAACGATGTTTCTCATTCCTATAAGGTATGTTTCACGATACCACCGAAAGATGGTACACTGCAAAGAATCCAGTAGCAACTTGACCACAAGCTCTGTTGCAAGGTTGTTGGTAGAGTAAACGGGTAGGTTTAATCCAATTCAATTCAAGAAAGTGCTTTATGCAAAATGTAGAGTGAATATTCAGCTACTACACACGCCTTTGACATTGTAAAAGAAGCCAAACTTAACATAGTAAGTATACAAGTAGGTTACTAATTGATTACGGTGCGAACTTGCTCCTAAACTCCAGAACAACTGAGGTATGTTCGCACAAAACGCACACCAAATAGGGAGTTATGGATGAGTGGCATGCACTTGTATGAGCATAAATAGACCTATGCTTTTGTTTGATTAAAGAAATTCATGCACAATAAGGCAGTGCACCATGGAGAGGGTAACTTGCATCGGTGGGTATTTTTAAAGCAAACTTTTTGTATGGAATGGTATGAGTAGACACAACAATGTCAACAAATGTCGGGGCTTTGGAATGCCACTACATTGAGACATTTGCGTTGAATACTTATCTAGGATTGTGAAAAGGTTACTTAAAACCCAGGAAATGTCACAGGGGGGCAGTAGGCCCAATTGGGTACCACACGAGCGGTGATAAATCGCAGTATTTAGTAGCGGAGTCAGAGGAGGGTCGCAAACGAGCAGCGTAGACAGAAAACCTCCACAATTCGATGAAAAACTTCATTCACATAAAGTGACCAAGTAAGACCACGGGTGAGTGTAACACCTAGATGCTTCACTGACACGGTGAAGTGCAACCTCTCACCTTCTACTTGAAGTTCAGGGTAATGCGTGAGAAATTTTTGATAACGAGCGCCTTTGTCTAAGGAAGCTATACGTCATTTAATTTTAATGCATTCAGCAATAAAAGGTCTACTCTAGACCAAAATGCCATGTTTTCCAGATAGGCTTACAATATGCTTGATTAAACTGCAGCCGGATTTTGGATACACACGTCCACGTCTGCATATTTCAGCAGTTTCGCTTCAACAAGGGGAAGTAATGAAGTGACGTAAGGGGCAAAGAGGTGTGGAGACAGTATGCCTCTTTGGAGAATCCCGTCAGCTATGTTGAGCACAGAGTAACCAGCCCAAGTCGAGTAAACTGGGCATAAGTAGCGAAATAATCCCTCAGCAGGCGGACAGTAGAGGGTAGAATGTCGGCATCACGTAGGTCCCACAAAAGATGTTCGCGGTTTGCATTGATAAAACATTACTGTAGTCGAGAAAACATATTCGAATGCATCTGACCCTGTTGTCTAGTGACGCCAGCAACGAATTTACAAGTTGGGCTAGTGCGTCTTGAGTAGACCTCAATTTACGAATAGCAAACTTGAGCGAATTATCTGAATGGGTTTGAGTCATCATCTTTTCAAGCATAGTCTTCTCGAAAGCCTTCCGGTTTACTGAGGTGCAGAAAATTGGTCTTGAGTGGTCCGAACATTTCGTGGACACAGGCGTAATTCTAGCACATCTCCAACAGTCAACAAGTTTACATTTCTTCATGCACAACGTGTACAGATCAGCAAGAAGCTGGGCCAAATAAACGGCACACACCTTGAGGACAACAGGATATAGTCCGCTGGGGCTATATGCTATGTTATAATTTAGCGGCAGAAGTTTACTGTATATTGTATTCCTGTCAGTGTCAGATAAAGTGATTGTCAGTTTGTCCAGTCGGCATGAAACAGGGTCAGAAGTGGGGTTAGCATAGAAGCCAAATTTGCGGTTTAATTCTTGAATACCCACCTATGGATACGACATTCCGTGCAAGACTCCTGTACTTTATATCAGCATCTGCCAGACCTCCCGAAAACTTTTATTTCCCAGTATGATCAAGACATATAGGTGGTTTGGACAGCGCAACTCCACTTGACAGAAATTACGATAGCTTTTACTACAGCATGGTTTGTCCTTCTGAACGCATTCTCTTTGAGTCTACCCAAGGCTTTTAGGCATGGAGGTGAAAACCGACCCGTACGGATGCAAATGGTTCCCAGTGGACAGCAGGTAACAAAACAAAATTTGAGGTAGTTCGTAAACTGGGTTACAAAGTGCAGTTACATCCTTGTCAAAAAGTATACTTAAGTCTGTAGTTGCAGCCATTTGTCGTAAGCTGTATATGCTCTGAGGTGAACAACGAGCGCTTACCATATGATTTAACTCACTGTAGACGACGAGAGATAACTTGACCTTTGAGGGATCAGATCTACCAAACGTTGCCTGACTATACTGATAAAATAGCTTCATATAGTTAACATATATAAGGTCTAGTGTCGTTTCAAGACTCGGAAGGTAATTTACAACATTTCGAAGCTCGATATCTGTGAGGAAAGTGGCGTCAAATACGTTGATATCACTAGTAAAATGAATACAGCATAATCAAGGTGATACGATAACAGCTGAAGCGAACTAATCGTAAAATTTCTCTACTTCGGATGTGGGACAGCTGGAGG